CCTTTGGGCCACTGGCTGGGATGCTCAGCAGGCTCTCGCTATATGTCCCTTCCGGTCACATCTCTGGCATATGGCATTGCAGAACCTGCATTCTGCCCTGGGGAGGTTTCCCTTGCATCCTGCGCACTGGAATTCTGTCTTTCCTTTTCCTCGTGGTTTGCCCCTTCAGTGTGTTCGGAGGTGATGGACTTCATCCTCTTCTTCTTCCTCTGATTCCATTTCTACTTCCTCGTAATGGATCAAGGATTCTTCTTTTCCTTGCGGTCCTTTGTTCATCTTCTTCATGGCTGCCGTGGATTTCTGGGATGCCTCTGATGCGGAGGCTTCTTTCATAGCTTCTTTGAAGGTTATTTGAGGCTTGGCCAATAGTCTACTCTGTCAGGTGAGGTCTTTTAACCCCAACACCAGCCGATCCCTCATAGCTTCTTCTAAGTTGGAAAAATCACAGGCTGCAGCTATCTCTCTCAGATTCGCAATGAATTCACTTATTGATTCACCTTCCCTCTGGTCCCTCTGGTAGAATTCATGTCTCCTTACCAGGGATGAGGCTTGGGGAGCATAGCGCATCTTCAGGATGTTCTGTAGGATATTGTTCTTAGCTCAGAAGGGGCTGCAAGTGCTTTTGCCGTTTTGAATACAGAGGCTCCACAATGCGTGAGGAAGATGGCTCTCTTTTTCTGTTCCGACAGGCTCAATAGGTCGTTCCCTTCCAGGAACATGTGGAATCTTTCCATGTACAATTCCCAGTCTTCTCCAGCCTGGTTGAAAGGTGCGGGTGGGCTGATGGAAGACATTATGGTAGCCGATGATCTGACCGGTGTTGGCAGTCGTTGATCTGGATGGCTGATGATTGCTTGCTGGAGATTCAGTGCATTTGTTGTTCGTCCTTCAGAATCCCACCTTCGTCGCCAGTGTTAAATAGTGGGCGCAAAGAAGGACTGGACACAACGTTGAAGTAAACACTTTTATTAGCTGCATAAATCGCAATGGCTGAGCTAGCTGTGGCAGCTTCTTTTATAGCTAGGAGCTGTCCCCAGCTTCAGCCACTGATGTTCCTCTGAATTTCCCGCTCCAGTTCCTATTTCCTGATTGGTCCGTTCAAATCTGTCATTCAATACTCAACACAAAGCACATGAATAATGGTCACATGACTGTCAGATGCTGTGATAGTTATAAATGTGACAATGGGTGGCAAAGCTACTTTTTCTACCATCATAACAGTTGTGTAAGTTTGGACTATTTGTAAAAAAGTGCTATGCTATTGATGTAAATTCTAATACAGATGATTCATTCATCTCTATGACACTGGAACTAAGGAAAATTACTGCTGGTGGTGAAAATGAATGATGATTCAGAAAACTGCTTAGAGAAATCTCAAAGAATCTCTTTGGACTTAAATCAAAGGAATTATAAAATGTTACAGAATCCGCGTGCTGGTATGAAAGCTCTCCCAAATCTACCACATTACATATATTATCTTGAATTTTTTAAAAACTAATTTGCAGGATTTGCTCATAAAGGAACTAATGAGTCCATTATCCAGTATTAATATAATCCACTATTAATATATTTAATTCAATTCAATTTATTTTGTAGCATTGGATGCAAAATGCATAACTCTGGGTTTGTTAAACTGGGAAACTATGTAAGACTCAACAGTAAATGTATAGAGCTTAAAACCAATATAGCAAAATTTGAATGAAGCTTGGAACAGATGAAAAAGTTGTTGCGGATTATGCAGAAGAAAATAGAGCTTGAAGGCCTTACCTGGAAAATATTAAGAAAAATCAGTTTATCTTCCCAATCCAAAGCATGCAGCAAGGATCAATACCAGGCTGCCACAGCAAACATAGTTATATACATTTTTTAAAAGAAATAATTTGTACTTTTGTTTTGGTCAATACATGTAGTTATATCTCCAGACAAAGCATTGATCACATCCAGTCATTTTATAAGAATGGCTAAAAAAAATCTATATGGAGCCCAAGATCGTGCAAGCAGCTAATTCTTCGTTTTGCAGCAGTCCAAGTTACTGTAATTGTTTTCTTTTTCTTTGCTTGTTTTTTTTAATATCTTAAAAGATAAGTCAAGAGAGTCAGGGAATTTGAAGGATAGCATTGAAAGAGTAAACTTTCAGTAACCAGCTGCCCATCTCTCAGCTGATCTTAAACAGGGAATGCGAAGCTATTCAGACAAGCTGTCCTTTTACTAACTCAAACTGGAATTAAGTATTTCCTCCAACTATTTGCTATTGGCAGGCCTAGAAATGCAAACAGCATGAACTAAATGCATAGGAATTTAGGAATCTCTCATCCACATTATTGCTAGTTATAAGGTCTTTCTGTGAAGATGTTCAGCAGATTTGCTACTGCTTGTCTTCAGTAAACACTATTAACTGTATATGTCATAGCGTAAATTATTATGACACATTTCATAACAATCAACTTAATAGGATTCATGACCAGAATATGTGATGATTTGCACATACTTAGCTGTTTTTCAAACTAATGTAATTCTAAGACAAAAGATTTTTTTTTAAGTAGAGCTGAAATCTTGCAGAAAAATACTGATTTAAAATGCATTGCATTTGTTTTTTGTTCAATATATGTTTCTTGATTGCTGATTATCGTGCTTGTTGCTGTTGATAAATCTGCTGTGATTCTTTGTACATTCTTCAAAGCCTTTCTGGTTGAGGTGGGTCACTTTCTGTTCTGACCTAGGCTTCCTGAGAAAGCATAAATCACAATCTTAGTCCCAAAAAACCTCTTTTATTGAGATGGCTGTGAATTATGGTCATTCACAGCCCGTAATGATTCACAAACAGTCTGTGCAAATTCCAACAGATGTCTGCTCAAGCTGACACAGTTGTTCAGGGTAATGTTGATAAGCACCCACCTTTATCTCCCTTGAAACGCTGCCAGAGACCTAATTGCCAATTAGTTTTGCAAGGCCACACGTAGCATAGAATCAAACAGGACTTCTCAAAGCTTGAACCAACTATATGAACTAATTGCTTCCTGCAAAGGCTCAGGTCCGTTTGCTCCTCTTTTATGTCTTATGGAAGGGGCCAATCAACTCCAAGACTTACTCCCGAGTCACTATTTTTATTTATTTATTTATTTATTTATTTATTTATTTATTTATTTATTTATTTTTTGATTTGATTTGATTTGATTTGATTTCTATACCGCCCTACTCCCGAAGGACTCAGGGCGGTGCACAGCCAAACAATAAAACACATACATACAAAATTTAAAAGTAGAATTAAAATCAAATTAAATAATTTTGGCCCAGACAAATTAAAACCCCAAACTATTTAAAACCCAATTTTAAAATTTGAATATATAAAATACTAAAAGATATTTAAAATTAAAAATCTTTTATAAAAGAGGGAGAAAAATTAGGCCAGGCTCACCTGGTGAAATAATAAGGTCTTTAGAGCGCGGCGGAAAGTGCACAGATCCGGGATCCTCCGTATCTCCGGGGGGAGCTCGTTCCAGATAGTAGGTGCCCCCACAGAGAAGGCTCTCCCCCTGGGGGCCACCAGTCGGCATTGTTTGGCCAACGACACCCGGAGGAGCCCCTCTCTATGGGAGCGTACTGGCCGGTGGGAGGCTATTGGTGGTAGTAGGCGGTCCCGCAAGTACCCAGGTCCTGAGCCATGGAGCGCTTTAAAGGTGGTAACCAAAACCTTGAAGCGCACCCAGAAGACAACCAATTATCTTTAATTGTTCTTGCCTTCTGGCAGCTCTGCACATGCGCACACTAAGAACAGGCTCACACTGTTCTTCTGACTCGCTGATGTCGGATTCCGGAGGCTCCGGAGGCAACACATAACTAACAGATGGCCCTGGCCCCCTCTCTGCCTCAGACGCAGAGCCCTCGTTCGAGCCTTCCCCAGACTCCAGGACTGGCCCATGTTCCTTCCCAACCTCCTCACTGTCTGACTCTGCTGCCAGCTCCGCAGGCTGCCGGTGGACCACAACACTTTCCAAAAAGTTGGACTGGACCTAGCTTATCTTAGCCTTACAAAAGTAAACTCAAGAGACTGTTGGCTGTCATGGATTTTAACTAAAAAGATATTTTAAAAATTGACAAAGGAAGGAAATTCCAAAAGTAAGTAAGAAATATGGGTTAAGATTAATATTGTGGTCTTGCACTTAAATGAGAGAGTGAACATTAGAATGCCCTTGGTTCCTATGTAACTCTTATTACACTTCTTCATTCTTACCTACCTGTCCATTTTTCCTATTAATGTTTGTTCTTATACATTGATAGCAGTGCAAGAGTATGAGCATCTACATTATCTCATAGCTGTATTTAACATTTTGGTTTTCTTGGCACACAAAAAAATTTCATTCTTTCTATAGTTATCTGAGGGAGTATATTGGTGGACTCAAAACATCTGCACAATGCAACCTATGAGAAGAGAAGATTTTTTGGTAGAAAGGCTTGACAAATCTTAAAATTACTGACTGCTACTGTATAATTATTGTTTTGCTGTGGACTTCCATTTTGGCCTAGATTTTTTTCCTGGATTATTTTTAGTTCCTTAACAATTTGATCCATACCTTTGATCTAACTAGTATCATACACAGAAGCATCCTCTCCCATCACAATATAAAAAGAGCCACAGATATTATCATCAGTCTATGAAGATCTTTTGGGGGACAATGGTTTGGACTAGACTCTAATTAGGGTTAGAAAGGAAATTAATTAAACAATATCCTCTCATCATGTTTGCAAGTCATGCATTTTTTTTTAATTTCAACCTTTATTTTCTGGTTTACTAGCAGTCTAGCTTCTTGAAGATCATATTTTGCTGCCAGGCATTCCAACCACATGAATCCTCATCTTCTCATGCAACCAAGCCTAGATCCTCAAACACATAAAAGCCTAGATCCTCAAACACATAAAACTCAAAAGTCTCCATTGGAAGTGTCTAATATCCAGATCTTTACCATTCTTCTCTGCAGCCCTTTCTATCAGAGCAAGGCAACATGAGTCGTCAGATTTCAGCAGGCAGCCAACGAAATGCACCAAGCCCTTTGACCCACTGTGGTGCAAGCAGCTCAAGCTCCTGGCAACATTCTGGCTCCAGGAGCAGCAGGAAAATGTCCAACTTTGGAGGAAGGACAACTTTATCCTTGTGTGGAGATCACAAGAGTGGCAGCTGTGGAGGTGGAATCCAAGGAGTAACAAGGAGATACAGCATCCAGGGAGTACATGTTGATCCAAAACTGTTGGAGCCATTCCATATCAAGATCTCCCCCGAGATCCAGAAAGTGAAATGCAAAGAGATGGAGCAAATGAAGTCCCTTAACAGCAAATTTGTTGGTTTCATTGATAAGGTGAGACTTTTAAATCTGAAGGTTTAAAGTTCCTTACTCTACTGGGCTACTGATAAAACTAGGATTGCTTGTACAATTTGGTACCATTTCTAGATTGATCCTATGTTTTCACCATTTGAGATTACTGTTGCACTAAATATTCTTATTTTGCCAACATGGTATTATTTTTGTCCAAATATTGTTCTGAAATGCTCATTGCTATTTTTGGTTATCTTCCGCACCCAATATAGTGGTCGCTTGAGTTGAACTGCTAAAGTCCAAGTTTTACATAATCTCTCGTAACTATGTTATATGTATTCTTCCTCGTCTCCTGACATCTTTTAAAGTGTATCTGAAAAAGTCCATAGCCCGGTTGCATGTGTTGAATAAATTGTTTCTATGGAAGCAAACCTAGACATTTTAACAAGCTGAACCAACTTCTAATAATAATTGTGGTTTATTAAGTATTTTGTAAATGAGCCAGTAACTTGATTGGACTACTTAATATTCAAGTCTGAAGCCTTGAGAACCATTGCTCGGTCATGTCCCTGCCATAATTTACATTGAGCAGGCTCTGTTTCTTCCAGTCTTTCCTAATACATATTCTACCTTCTAAATTATTCCTGCTTTGGCTTCCATTTGAATTCCATTTATCAGCCCAATAATGCATTCTGCATCTTTGTTAGATTGCTAAAATGGTGTTTGCATTTCAAAGCATCCTATGAAACAGAACTTCAGCTTTGACTGATGGATTGTTTTAATGTACTGATGGATTTGTGGATGGATTTCACCTTGGATTTTAGGTGCAGTGCCTGGAACAGAAGAACCAACTGCTAGAAATTAAATGGGCCTACCTCCAGCAACAAACTAAACCACCAACTGAAAGCTTACAGTACTTGTTTGAACAATACATTGCAAGCCTGAAGAAGGAGTTGGAATATTTGCAATATGAGAAGGAGAAATTGCAAAGTGATAGTGAAAGTACAAAGGCACAAACTGCAGATTGCAAGTGCAAGTGAGTTCCTCTTGAATTATGCAGAGAAGATTAAAAAATGACATAGATTTTGTGCTTCTGCACTAAGTCTCTTATGATGCTGAAGGTGTTGACTTGGTAGCAAACTTCACCAAAAATATTGAGACTTACAACTGAGTAGGATTAGCATAAGATTACTCTATCTAATTCCTGTTTTATATGTGTTCAGGATATGTAGCACGTGCAGTAAATGTATGAAGTGACTTTCTGAGAAGGAGATCATTGTTTTTTCTACCTGAATTTGTCAAACAGATTTCTCATATTATAATGCTCCCTTTTCCTTTGGTCCTAAGGTAGCTTAAGAAAGTCCTGACGCTAAGCAATGGAGGAGAAATAATGACATCTGGTTGTATTTCAAGAGTCAATCAGGCCTTGAGACGAATATGAAGATGGAGTAATATACAGAGCTGGGGAAATTGTATAGGAATTTTGGAACAGGGAGTTATTGCCATAAATTGTTTCTTCCACTATTGTTAAGAGAACAAACAAATAACCATGTATTCAGGAAGAACAATCTACCATCACCTGTTACTTATTCCTTTTAACTAGAAATAACTGAGGCTGAGTTTTTCGTGCATGGGACCATTATTCTGTCCATAATTTGCCAATATGTCAGACAATGCTTATTTTGCCAATCCTCTTTCCCAGAGATATTTTGGGAGTGATACATATAGGAACATTTGGAGCAGTGGTGAAATGTAAAATTTGTTACTACCGGTTCTGTGGGCGTGGCTTGGGGGGTAATGTGACTGGGTGGGCGTGGCCAACTTTTGTTTTTACTTTTTTAAAGCATTTTTTTTACAATCTATTTGGGTGAATAGGTTGTAAAAAATGCTTTTAAAAAGTTTTTTAAAAAAGCTCTGATGATCACAGCTGTGGCACGTAATGGTCAGAGCCTTTTTTTTAACCTTTTAAAAGCAGGAAGTAATGACACCCGGGTGGGAGGGCAGAGCCTCGCGCTGCCATTGCTACCGGTTCTCCTAACCACCTGCCATAATCGCTACCGGATCGCCTGATCCGGTCTGAACCGGGAGCATTTCACCCCTGATTTGGAGCCATCATAATACTGCCTCATTGGGAAGACTATAACTTCAGGCCACCGATGTTTACTGTTTGATTCATTTCCCTCTCTATTGTATTCTTGATGGTCCTTCCTACTAGATATGAAGAGAAAGTCAACCAGCATGTTGCAGCACAGAAAGAGATTATAGCACTTAGGAAGGTAAGTAGAACTCCTTTGAACCGTGGTGGCGCAGTGGTTGGAGTGCAGTACTGCAAGCTACTTCTGCTACCTGCCAGCTGCCTGCAATTTGGCAGTTCAAATCTCACCGGCTCACGGTTGACTCAGCCTTCCATCCTTCCGAGGTGGGTAAAATGAGGATGCAGATTGTTGGGGGCAATAGGCTGACTCTGTAAACCACTTAGAGAGGGCTGTAAAAGTACTGTGAAGCAATATATAAGTCTATTGCTATTGCTATTGCTATTGCTATTGCTATTGCTATTGCTATTGCTATTGCTATTGGTGAAGTTAATTTTAAAAAATTAAAATCAAGATAATGAGAAATGGGATAAATGTTACATTTGGGGGGGGAAAAACTTCAGATGTTACTATTACCATCATCATTATTTTTCAATGATTCTGGCAATCCAACTTGTCAATTTTTAACAAGAATGAAAGAAAAATATTTTTGTGTAAATAATCAGCCAGACATTTTGGATAATATAATATATCCTATAATAGCATTGCAATATGGTCTTGCAATGATATCTTTGCAATGGTGAATTTGGAGTAGTATGTTTAAAATGGGTGATGGAGAAATAGCTATGCTGATTAATAAAACTTTCTAAATTATACATTGAATCAGTATTCAGATACTAAAGAGAGTAATTTTGCAAATGTAAAATGTATGGATTTTTAATTATTCAACCAGTACTATTTCTATCCAATTTAGTGGTACATTTATTTCACATTCTTCACATTATTCCATACGAGCCTGTAATTTCTCTTCTTTTATTGGGTTGCAAAACATTTGATTCCCAAAATAAAAAAAAAAAGATTTCTTATTACAAATAGCTTCATTTATGCAATCCGTTAAGTTTGGTTAATTTATCCGGGTCAGATTTTTTTATGAGTCATAGAATGCTGTATACATCACCTACCTTCTACCAGCTACCTATACTTTCCAGTGTAGTTAGCTGATAGATCGAGGTTTACATTTATCAAGTAATTGGTTTAATTCTACATCAAGCATAAAACAAGTTTAGCATGTGACGTGAACACAGAAACTATAAAATACCATTACAAATGTTATTATATTTTGATAGGAAACATGTTATGAAATTGTAGATTAAAGAATTAAAAGCACATATCAAAATGTTTTTTTTAAAAAAAAAACCTGCAAAAATAAATACAGAAATAAATAAAATATAAAATAGCAATAATTTTTAAAAATGGACTCACCCTTTCATGTATGCAAGATCTTACTTTAGGCGTGTATTTAAAAATATTTCATTTGCCTCACCTTTTCCAAATACTTGTATGATATGTTTAATTAAAATAAATAGCTGAAAAGAAGAAAAGGTGCCTTTAACAGCGCAGTATTTTTACTCAAGAACAAAAGAAAAACGTATTTTCTATTTAATGCTTTTGCAAATAATAGAATAAATTCCTTGGCACAAAGGGAGATATCCCGCTTGAGTTTAAGAGCCATCACATGGGGACATGGAATTTGGGAATAATGGATTTAAAAATCATGGCATGATTGTTGTTATTATTTATTTAAATTTTTATAATAACTTTTGATCCCTCTTAATGTTTTAAATGAATTCTGATTCCCCCCTTTCTTTGGAAGTCTTCCCATAAAAAAGAATATAATTCAAGAATGTCATCTGTTTAGGATGTAGACTGTATCTTTTCAAATAATGCAGAGCTGGAGAGGAAAGTCAGTCTCCTGGCCAAAGAGATCAAGTTCTTGAAATGTGTATATAAGAAGGTAAGTAGGGAGGGACCCACTGAAGAGATCCTCTTTCCTTCGCATGACTGCCACTTGGCCTAGTCAACAGAACTGACAATGCATTTGAATCAACATCTAGGAGAGAGAACAGCTTGACAAACAAGACCAAGACTTGGATGTGGTTGTGAAAATGGACAACAGTAGAAAATTTGACATGGACAACATTATAGCCTTAGTCCGAAAAGAGTATGAGGAAATTATGCAGAGAAGTAAAGCGGAGGCAGATAAATTTTACCAAAACAAGGTATTTCACATCAGTCCAAAAATTGGTAATATTATGTGTGTGTGTGTGTGTGTGTGTGTGTGTGTGTGTGTGTGTGTGTGTTTTCGTAGATTTTCACGGATAGAGGTATGCAAGTTTTGGTGTATTCGGGTCTTTTCCCGTGTAAGATTGAGAGTATCTTGGCGACGTTTCGACGAAGTCCCACTCGTCATCTTCAGGCTGGTGTCTTCGGCTTCGTGCTTGTGCGAGGAAAGTGTGATCGGAGCTGCCGTCTCTCTATAAATATTGGTGCGGAGGTGTGGGGTGCTGGCTTTGTTGCTGTGAGCGGGTTGATTGCCTGTGTTGTTACATCTTGATTAGTTGATGGAGTTGATGTTTGCAGATTAGTCAGCTGTTTCGTAACATCCTGTGTGGGTGAAGTCCTTGATGTGTGCCCATTAGTCTTTTGTGTTTTAATGACCTGGATAATGGGCTGTGTGTTAACATCCTGAGTTCTAGTGTTGTGATATCCTGTGTTTTTTGTTGTAATGTCCTGAGCAGATGGCTGTGATGCCACATCCCGGGTTTTGGTTTGGCTCCAAATTTGAGGTCTTGCCATGTGTTCATGGTGTGTGTCAGTTTGCTTTGTGTGGGGATCGGAGGGGGGTGCAGCAGCTGGTGATGCTGCCGTGGTCTGGCTTCTGGATGGTGGTTGTATTTCATCTATGGGATGGGTTTGGGTTTGAATCTGGTGAGGATGATTTGTGATGGTGTCATGTGTTATCTTGGGCCCGGTGTTAATCTTCATGGCTAGGACTCTTCAGTTGACTAGGGATAGTTTCCAGATGTCCAGTAGGCAGGAGGTATTGTCACATTTATTCATGTTATGCGGGTGTTTCTCTATTTCGATGGCTTCCATGATTATTCTCTTGTTGAAGTGTTCAGTTTTGGAGATTAATTTGGTTCCTTCAAAATCAATTTCGTGTCCTGTTGTTTTAAGGTGCTGGAAAAGGGAGGAAGTTTTTTTCTTCTTTTCTGATTGCGTTCTTGTGTTCTGCAATGCGTGCATTTATTCTCCTATTAGTTTGTCCAATGTATGTGGCTGGGCAGATTTTGCATGGTATTTCATAGACTCCTTGGTTTTCTAGCTGGATCTTGTCTTTGGAGTTTCTTAAGATGTTGGCTATTTTTTGGTCAGTGCAGAAGACTGTCTTGATATTGTGCTTGTGGAGAATTTTGCTGATTTTATTTGTGGTGCCTTTGATGTAAGGAAGGAGGGAGTTAACACACAGCCCATTACAAAGGTCATTAAAACACAAAAGACTAATGGGCACACATCAAGGACCTCACCCACACAGGATGTTACGAAACAGCAGACTAATCTGCAAAGATCAACTCCATCAACTAATCAAGATGTAACAACACAGGCAACCAACCCGCTCACAGCAACAAAGCCAGCACCCCACACCTCCTCACCTGTATTTATAGAGGACGGCAGCTCCGATCATTCCTTGCTGACTGATTACCAATCTAGCTTCTTAATATATTTGGGGAGACTGCTCATAAGAAATAGAGCTACTTCTCATTTCATATACAAAGGCCTCTTGAATTAGCAGAAGAATCTTACTCGGATATAAGTGACAGGAGAGTATCCTCTGTTGTCAGAGGTGGTATTCAACTGGCTCAGATTGCTTCAGGCGAATCGGTAGTGGTGACTGCGGGTGGCTCAGTCCACCCGCCCCGGTGTAATTCCATCCTATTTAGCCACGTTTTCGCATGCGTGGAAGGCTGAGCGCATGCATGGAAGGCATGCACATGTGCAAAGCAAGGGTGCACGTGTGCGGCAAACCAGTGGTAAGAATATGTGAAACCCACTACTGTCTGTTGTAAAGGACAGCAATGGCATGTCTTCCTCAGTCTTCAACATCTTCTTGCTGCTCTGCCTGGCTCTTTCTTGGTCCTCCCTCAAACAAATGTTACAGTAGAATGGCCATAATGTCAGCAACTCTCCTGTAACCACCACATGTATACCATGCATTTTTGAGTTACAGCTTCCATTGGATGGCTTTCCATTCTGCCTACTTCCCTATTTTCTCACTAATTTATTGGAAGAAAGGGATTAGGCAAGACTGATAGACATCCCAGGTAAACAATAAGAGATACTCAGCAGAAGTGTGGCCAACAATCCACTGTTAAATGGTAGGATTCCATTGCTTGTAGAAATGTAGCTATCAGACACTGAATCCTGCAAAAGTTGATACCTGTTCTTCTTTCTGTCTCATCTTCAACTGGCTGAAAAAGGCAAACTAGACCAAGTTCAAAAACTGCTAATGAGGGCAAGCTGAGATCATCAGAATTCTCCAGACAATTATTAATTTTAGATGTTAGATATTTTTGCAGTGATCTGGACTAATTTTTAAAAAAATTCTCTTTAAAAATAATAAATTTCAGCAGGTGGCATAATCTTACTTTGCATTTATAAAGATTTCCCCTCCCCCCCAAAAAATTGCTTTGATAGTAAACTGCCTTGTAATATTTTCTATGTCGTGAGCCACTTTAATTATGATTAGCATGGAAAAGCTGTAATGTAAACATATGATTGTGATAATGTTAAAGAAAGCTGTTATACTGATACCCTTAGTATGAAGAGGCTCAAAGTAAGAGATCTCGTTTTGAATGGGATATGAAGAATCGAGAACAGCAGATTTCAGAACTTATTGAACAAGTTGAAAAAGTCCAGTGTGAAATTCAGAGTTTGCAGAAGGAGGTAAGACTAAAGCAATGCAAATTAAACAACTAGGGTTTGGGTTTTTTTGGTAGAATAATTCAAATTTCAAATTAGCAATGGAATAATTCATGAATGAGTACTATAGAATATATGTAAGGTACCTCTTTGTGTAAAGAAGCTTATTTGTGCTTACTATTTTTAGTTCCAAAATCTGAATTTGTTTCACTAGTTATGTGTAATTAGTAAAGAGGCAAGGGCATTACAAACACTAGTTGTGAAACATTAAGAATATATGAAGCCAGGTAAGAAGAATTTGAATCTCTTCTTTTTTGCAAACAGACTTAAAATTGACAGCGTTTCTCATGAAAATGTTGACAAATTTAAATCATGTTTGAAAAAAATGACTTTTAAAGTGAAAAATAGAACTTTCTTGTTTGAATATGCATTTAATATTCTGTACAAAAATATTTTTACATGCCATAGGACTGTGATGGTGAACCTATGGCACGCATGCCACAGGTGGCACACAGAGTCATATCAGTGGGCACGTGAGCTCAGCCAATTTTTGGGTCTTCTGGGCCCACCGGAAGAGGGGTAACAGGCTGTTTTTGCCCTCCCCAGGCTCCTAGAAAGACTCTAGAGCCTGGGGAGAGCAAAAAAATGGGCCTTCCGGTCCCACTGGAAGTCGGCAAATGGGCTGTTTCAGCATCCGGAGGGCCTCCAGGGTGGGGGAGCCGTTTTCGCCCTCCTAGAACCTGGGGAGGTAAAAAACGGGCCTACCGGGCCCACTGTGCCATTGTGTGCAAAAGCGGGGGGGTGCTGGTGGATCAAGTGCACATGCATGGGGGGGGGGCAGGGCAAATAGAATTATGGGTGTGGGCACACACACGCACGATCCCCCACGCTCCCCTTGCTTTTGGCACACGATGGCAAAAAGGTTAACCATCACTGCCATAAGATATTTATGCTCCACAGGTATAGTAATTCCCAATATCCTGATTACAACATATCCACATTCCTGTTTCCAGTATGCAGTTGGTATAAAGAAACTGGTATCTGTATGCTAAAAGTATGGTGGGGAATTGTTTGTATGTTGTTTCTGAGTGTTGGAGGAAATTGTACAAAAGCATATGCAAGACCTGTATTAGCCCATACTACCAACATCTCTTGTTCTGATAAAGATGCTCTCAAGTCTTGAGCTCAGTCCTTAATGCTCACATGGACATAAGCATATGGCAAGATCACACAACTGGTTTGCCATTACTTTTTTTACTGGATGGTTTTCAATTTTCCAGTTAAGTCTACTGTCTACAATCTTCACTTATGGGTTTCCCTAATCATCTCCCTTCTGGAATACTCAATGCTGATTAATGTCCAGGTCTGGGACAAGATTGGTCAGGTTGTCCCAAAAGTTATATGTTGTCCATTGGGTTTCCTGGAGAAAAAAGAAGATAATATGTTGAAGGACAGAGCCTGAATTATTAGATGTAATGGCAACTAGTTAAATGGATTTCATTATTCTTTCCTTAAAATGAATGAAGCAAAGATTCTAATGTTTTTTCCATGATTCCATGGATTCATGTTTTTTATCCTTAAAAAACATGATTCCATGTTTTTTAAGGATATGAGCCATACATTTCTAGATACATTTGTTGAAGGGCTGCACACTAGTTGTGTGGGACTAAGAGGTGGGTGATAACATGTCCAACCCTATCACTTTAACAGAACGAAGAGCTCAAGAAGACAATTTGCGAGGCAACCAAAGGAGGTGAACAAGCCTCCGTGGAAGGTCAACAGAAATATGCTGAGCTGGTGAAGGCCCTTCAAAATGGCAAGGATGAACTGGCCAGCCTAGTACGTGACTACCAAGAAGTCCTGAATGTGAAGATAGTTCTTGATATTGAGATTGCAGCTTACAAATGTTTGTTGGAGGGAGAAGAAGAGAGGTGAGTCTCCTATGTTAATTTATTTTAGTTATTTAATTCATTCTAGATCAAGCTATATAGGATCCCTGTCAGCAAGCATTATATGGCCCAAACTCCAGTTACTTCTGAATATATGTAACAGTACAATACGGAGATATTTTAAAATCCTTCAAATAGCACTTTTAAACAAAGGTTGTTTTTTTTTAATTTGATTTATATGCCGCCCTTCTCCGGAGACTCAGGGCAGCTTACAATGCATTAAGCAATAGCCTTCATACTTTTGTATATTTATACAAAGTCAGCTTATTGCCCCCACAAACTGGGTCCTCAAATTTTCAAATTTTTCAAATTTTCAAAAGAGATGATGAAACATTGAGCAACGCTTTTTGTATTCTGCATTAAATGGGTATAAACGCTGTGGATTCATTCTTGAGGAAAGAATGAAGATGATAAACTTAAAACAGCATAAAGGCAGGCCTGGAAGTTGAACAAGAAAAAACAAGTGAACGTTTTCTTCCCTCCACAGGATATCCAGAGATTCTTCAAATTCCATCAGTATCTGTAAGTACTAAGTTGCCTGTTTGCTTGGGGTTTTTTTCCCAAAAAGGTGTTTCAGGAATAACCATTTGGTGTGTGTTTTCTTTCCAGCTGTGACCGATTCCCCATGCAGTTCTCAGAGTGCAACGAAACAAGGAAAGGAACGCAGTGAGAAGGCCGGAGGCTCCTGTCGATGCAAACCGACTGGATCTAAAACATCCATTTCCACTGAGAGTAAAACCAAGTGTCAGAGTGAAAAGTCATCTACTGTCTGCAAATGGTCCAGTAATACAAAGTAAAATTGCAGAAAGGAAAGTAGACAGGACGCTATCTGACAGTTTCACAAACGATGGAAAGGAACAACTTATCTAGATTTGATAGATGAAAATATTAGTAGCTCAGAATTGAAATGAGGGATTCTTGGTGCTTTCTGATACTGGTTATTTTCTTGCAGATGTTTCATTACCCAAAGGAGGCAACAACTTCAGTGCTAGTAGCAGAGGTGGTATTCAGCCAGTTCATACCAGTTCAGGCGAACCGGTAGTGAAAATTTTGAGCAGTTCTGAGAACTGGCAAATCCCACCATTGGCTGGCCCCACCCCCGCACGCCCATTCACCCCACCCGCCCACTCGCTCCCTGCACCTGCTTGCTCCTCCCTCCCACCTGTTCCCCCCACCCACCCACTCATCACTCGACCCCGCCTACCCACTCATCTGCTCACCCCACCCACCCACTCACCCTGCTCACCCACTCACCGCTCACCCCCGCCCGCCTGCTCTCCTGCTTGAAATTTTCGAGCACTCTGACAATTATCTGTTCATGATACTACACCTACTTGTTTTGCTCTTTGCTGTGCTTTTCTGTCTTGTAGGTAATAAACTAAATGCACACAAAGTACATTGTGTTCTTCTCTTTTCTTATTGCATCTGCATCCTCCCAAGGTTCTGAGGTGGCTTTACTTTTTTTAAACAGCAGTTGACATTAAAATAAGCAAAAGGCTAATAAGCTTATGTAATAAACTGCTAGATAAAAAAAAAACATATAAGCACCACTAGGCAAATAGGAACTGTATCTTAATTTGCAAACTTCATGAAAAATATCTATTCTGTACTGTGAAAGGGGGGAAAGGTGCCATGACTAATAGGGAGAGGTTGTTCATTATTTGTACATTGAAGAGTACTCATCCTTGGAAATTCTCATCATCTGCGTAATGATACAGTCATGGAAATTTTAAAAGCGGTTCATTCCAGGTAAAGGTCATTGCATTGAATTCCAATTTGGCCATGCCCTCTGCTACTTTACTCATGACATCTTTTTTTTAATTTTGTGAAAAACCTTCTGTCTTGCTATGTTGTTGTTGTTAGTTGTGAAGTCATGTCTGACCCATCACAAACCCCATGGACAACGTTCCTCCAGGCCTTCCTTTCCTCTACCATCCCCTCAAGTCCATTTAAGTTCACGCCTACTGCTCCAGTGACTCCATCCAGCCACCTCATTCTCTGTCATCCCCTTCTTCTTTTGTCCTCAATCATTCCCAGCATTAGGCTCTTCTCCAGTGAGTCTACTATAGTGAGGAAAAAACCTTTCTCTGTTGCATTCACTGCCAAGATTCTGTTACTCCCTGACTATTAAACGGAAAAGAATTGTGCAGAGATAGGGCCAAAAAACAGATCTCATATCTTTTATTCAGCACTTCATTTAAGAACCCAATATCAAAACTATCACAAGCTAGTAAGATATCGAAATGGGAATTTTGCAAGCCAAACCTTTTCATCTGAAGAGTTAATAAAGGAATAAGGTGCCGGCACACTGGAACTGAAATTGAACAAAGGTTCATATTCCAAGTTGGAAGAAACCAGTCATTTTGTGTGACATCACATTCTGGATGCTGAAAATAACAGGGGGTGGGGAAAGACATATTAGTCTCTGACTTCCAAATGATTGCCCACTCCTTCCCACTTCAGCCCTTCCCTAATATGCCAATGAAGTTGCCATTTCTAACATGGAGCTGAATTGGCCAGAAGGATGGGATTCAATAAAAATCACCATCATGTATTTTTTTCCCCACTGAAAATGATCCTTGCAACTGTCTTACTCATTGCTATTCTGAAATTGGCTTTCCCCATCCTGAATTGCATTCCCCTCAACCCAGGTAGGCTAAAGGAGGTGTCATGAGAATTTGAGGTGAGCTAAGCAAGCAAGCAAGCTCTCCCTTTGTTCCCAGACAGATCTAATTACACAGAGAAGGGAATCATTTTCTTTCCAGGTAAGGTTGAATCAACAAGTCAACATTAAGCACTTTGTGACTAAGGAGCTACTTAGCAAAGCCTTTCTAGAATGACTTCACCCACAAGTTCCTATCCAGCACTCTCTAGAACAGAGGTGGGGAAACGATGCCCCACTTTATTACTTGCAGACTTCAACTCCCAGAATTCCTGAGCCAATTCAATTCTGGGAATTTGTATTTGCATTTATTAGTTTGTCAAACATGTACAAGATAATAGGTATAAATATAAACATGGATATGAACCAAAGAAATGAATACAAATAAATAGGGATGGTAAGACAGGGATGGTAGGCACGCTAGTGTGCTTATGCACACCCCCTTTATGGACCTCTTAGGAATGGGTGAGGTCCACGGTAGACAGTTTGAGGTTGAAGCTCAATTGAAGTCCACAAGTCATAAAAGGGCCATTGTTCCCCATCCCTGCTCTAGAAAGAAGAATTTTCTTACAGCTGAAATATCTGCTCTCTTTTCCCTTTCCTACCCCTTAGACAAAGATCTTTTGCCTTGAAATGCCCAAATGTCTGGACTAAGAAGCGAGTTCCAACCTAGGTGCAGTGTGCATTTCACTGGTATCATGTGAAAATGTTTGATTGCTTTGTGAAATGTATTGGCTTGATCAATGACGATGGACAATGCGAAGATCATGTAATTAACCGTTTATTAACAACAGCTGTGCTAACTGCCACAGCTATAACTGAAACTGCTGACAGCTCTTATCTTGCCAGCTGTCAGGCGGCTTAACCAATCAACGAACAGAATGTTACTTTAACCAATCAACGAACAGATGTTACTTCCTACTTCAGCAGACTTAATACATTGCACCCCTTTCCACCTGGATGGCGCATGTGTAGTCCTGGAGGTATGCTGGTCAGTTCCAGCTTCTGATCGAACGTCTTAATCCTGCCTCACTCACAGACTCTTGCGAGGAATTACTTTCCCCAGCAGTTCTAATAACTACAGGTATGTTACTGCTTTCGACCTGTGTTTCAATTTCTCCCCCGGGGTTTGTCTTGTCCGAAGTAATCTGTCAACTCAAAATCTGCTGCTCAGCATCTGGTAGCTTCTCAGCTTCTGGTATGCCCCTTAACCCCTGGCTGAAACTCTCTCCTGCCTGGTTCTCTCTTTCTGTTATATCATGTTCAGTACCCCATCTGACCCTTAGCTGGTCTTGGTGACAACTCCAAATCTTGCCTTGTCCCATATCAACCTTATATGAGCATGGACCTGTAATATCCATCACCTTACCTGGTAACCATAACAGCTGACCCCCATAATTTCTGGCGTACACTTTATCACCCACACCAAAAGGTTTAGATGTCCTACTTGAATCCAAAGATTTGGCAGGGGTGTAACAGGGGTGTAACCTATCCAAAATTGTATGCAGCCGGCGATCCATCAGTAATTCTGCTGGACTCCGATTGGTAACCTGACAAGGGGTGGTGTGTTGCACTAACATATCCTCCGCTATACGGTCATGCCATTTCCCTGGTCCCATGCGGCCTAATGCCTCCTTTGTGGATCTCACAGCCCTTTCTACAAGGCCATTACTGGCCGGGTGGTAAGGAGAGATAAGGGCATGCCTGATACCTAATTGGGCAAGGAACAACTCAAATGTGGTAGAAGTTAATTGGGGCCCATTATCTGACACCAATAGCTCAGGCAACCTGTGGGTTGAGAATAGTGTACGAAGGGCCTTTATGATGGCCTCTGAGGATGTCGAGTGCATAAGTATCAGTTCAATCCATTTAGAGTACGCATCAACCACCGCTAAAAAAATTTGACCATGAAATGGCCCCGCAAAGTCTATATGAAGGAGGGACCACGGGCCAGCGTGGTCTTCCCATTCCCTGGGCTTACCCTTAGGGGGCATTGGCCGAGACTCTTGACAAGGGCGGCAAGTGGCCACCCAGTCGGTGATACATTGATCAAGAGTAGGCCACCAGAGATAGGCTCTAGCTAGAACCTTCATTCAGACTATTTCTGGATGTCCGGAATGCAATGATTTTAACACAGAATCCCATAAAGATTTTGGAATCACCCAGTGTCCCCACAGTAAATAACCCCCCATGGTAGATAATTCTGTTTTACGGATAGTGTACGGTTTACACTTCATGTCCACAGGCTCTTGTGGCCACCCCCTTAGTACCCAGTCCTTGACTGTGGAGATCTCTGGATCATGGGATGAAACTCGAGTGATGTCAGCCACCATCAAAACGAAAGGTGAGTCTTCAATCATCAGGACTGACGAGGCGGGAGCTGGGTCAGAGAGCAATGTTGGCATGGGGCACCGGCTGAGGGCATCAGCATGGGCCAGATTCTTGCCTGGCACGTACAGGAACATGTAGTCGTAGGCGGATAAAAACACAGATCACCTGGTGAATCTCGGGGATAGGAATTGTGGAGTTTGACGGTCAGCTGCTAGTAGACCAAGCAGAGGCTTATGATCCGTCACTAGTGTAAAAGGTCGACCATATAGGTAATGATGAAACCGCTTGATGCCAGCTACCAATGCTAGAGCCTCCTTGTCTAGTTGTGAATAATTTCACTCCGCTGAAGCCAAAGTCCGGGAGAAAAATGCAATGGGGGCTTCACGGCCATCAGGGAAACGGTGATTTAAGACTGCTCCCACCCCATAAGGAGAAGCATCACACGCTAGTACGAGGGGCAGGGACTCGCAGTAGTGAGCAAGGACAGAGTTTGAAACGAGTATACGTTTGACATTAGTAAATGCAGTGGCTGCATTGAATCCCAGTTCCAACGTGTCCCCCGGTTCAGCAAATGATGCAAAGGTTCTGCAATAGATGCCTTGTGTGGTATGAAAATTGCATAAAAGTTTAAAAGGCTAAGAAGGCTTGAAGTTCGTCCTTGTTGGTGGGAGCAGGGG